CAGGGCCACTGAAGCCCAAAACTTGCACCAAGTCTAATGACACATAGAGAAGTGAATAAGAAGCCAGGTAAATCTGAAAGGAAAAGAGCAAAATCAAAATGCAAGTCAAGATAAAGATTGCCATTGTCAGCCTCTCCAACAGTCTCTCACCAACATCTCTTTCAAGTGTCTCCTTCCATGTCCCCCAAGTCCTGGTAAAAGTCCAAAACAGAGAAGCAAGCACAGATTCTTCACATCTCTCTGCTCTGAGTACCTCCTTAGACTCTTCTTTTCAGTCTTCCTTGCTAAGATTTTTTTACCCAGTCTTTTCTAGCTTCTCCCGCTGTTCAGCTGCACCCTTCCTTGGCTGGGATAGGGAACTAGGAACCTCCCTTTCTATGGTGATTATACTGTCAGAAACTAGCAAGAAGTATTTTTGCAGATATCATTGTAAATTCTGAAGATTAGGCTCTAAATATTTACCTACATGCAAGTAAAAGATGTGTCTTATTGGCTAGCAGCAATTTACTTAGAACAGTTTATTTATTTTTTTTTATTTAAATTTTATTTTTATATTCCCCATACAATTACAACCCCCTTATTTTGACCCCAATCCCTCCTTTCCCCGCCCCCCACCCCCCATAGAGTGTCTCTGGTTCATAGTAGTTTGTTGATTTTGATATTTTCTTTCTTATAGTTATTCTTTTTTCCTGGTCCCTTATTTAAGTTTTCTAGATTCCTGCTATGAGTGAGACCATCTGGTATTTTTCTTTTTCTTTCTGGCTTATTTTGCTGAGCATGATCCCTTCCAGTGCCATCCATGTTGCTGCAAATTGCATGTGTTTATCTTTTTTTGAATGCTGGGTAATATGCCATGGTGTATATGTACCACATCTTCTTATCACAAAAATCTACAAAGAGCTGATGAGACGCAACAAAAACAAAGAAAATAATCCAGTCAAAAAATGGGCAGAAGAACTAAAAAGAAACTTCTCTGAAGAGGAAATGCAAATGGCCAACAGGCATATGAAAAAATGTTCAACATCACTTGTAATCAGGGAAATGCAAATCAAAACTACAATGAGATATCATCTTACACCAGTGAGAATGGCACATATTAACAAAACTAGCAACAGCAAATGTTGGTGAGGTTGTGGAGAAAAAGGAACTCTCCTGCACTGTTGGTGGGAGTGCAAACTGGTCCAACCACTATGGAGAGCTGTGTGGAGATTTCTGGACCTACTAAACATAGAGCTTCTATAAGATCCAGCAATTCCACTCCTATGACACAGAAACATCGATTCCAAAGAGCACCTGCACCCTTATGTTTATAGCAGCACTATTTACAATAGCTAAGCTTTGGAAACAACCCAAATGCCCAAAAATAGATGACTAGAACAGTTCATTTCTAATCAACAGAAGCAGCAGCATTGTGAAATGGGAGAACGGTACAGATGTTGTTGAATGGCCTAGTTTTGAATTCAAACCTGATCCTTAGACAAGAGAGGGTCTTGGAGCCACACTTAGCTATGAATGAAGGGGATGTCTTTGTCAGAGGGAATTAAATGTGGCTAAAGTTGCCCACAGCACAGTCTCCCCTTCTCAGAATTGTAAATGAGCAAGTAAGAAAATGTAGCTTTCATAAATACAAGAAAACACCAGATGATTTAAGTAAGGGAGTGTCTACATTTCACTTCATGTCAGTAAATAGTTGATGAGAACCCATTAGTTTCACTGGGACCATGCAGGCATTATCACTGGGTCCTGGGAGGACAAAAAAGCAAGTAAGGGAAGACCTGATTTTGCAGTTAAGGGGATATGAGATGAGACAGATGAGAAGGTCCAGAGTGTCCAGAGGTAACAGGGTCAAAAAATCTAGACTGTTGGTGTGTCACTGGGTTTGTGGGGATACCAGCCTAGAATAAGCTTCCTCTGTGAAAACAAGACTCCAGCTGGCTAGTGCAGCCTTACAGGTCAAATTCTTGTCCTAATTCCTCTGTGTGGACCCGAAACTTGTAGCTCCACATATGTCATGTAATTTTTTCCCCTCTCTCAGGAAGATGAAAGAAATCAGAATAAATTTTTTGACTGGTGTCTACTCTGAAATGAGTTATACTAAAACCTGCTACATTTCAGAAGGCAAACTTCCTTTTCTGAACAAATGGAATGTGTAATGTTGCATAAATTCCTATAAGGACTCTCACTCTAAAAATTATGCTGGCCAGTTCATGATGCCCACAGAACTGAACTTAGTGAGACACAAATCTGACCAGACTTGTTGGTTGTAATCATTTTTGCCCAGAGGAAATAAGAAAAAGTCTCAGAATCCCTTCCTTTTAACGAGCCTCTAGAATCTATGTGTCTGCTCTTCCATCATTCTACATAAGAAACTCAAGGATGGGAGCAAATCTTCCAAAGATTAAGAAAAGTGCTCATCTTCCAAGGTCACCAAACATACTTAGAGATAGGGACTACCTGGTGGTGCAAGTGGTTAAGCACTGCACTATGAAGCAACCCACAGCCTCTGCAGCATGAGTTCGATAACCTGGAAGGCCAGGGAGCAACCCACATGGCGCAACAGACCTCTCCCAACAGGCCTGCTGCTCCCCTCAGCAGTGTACTTCAGTCAATCTGCCTGTTCTGTTCCCCACTCTGTCTCTGGTGAATCCTCTCAACCCCCACATCTCTGGCCTGTACCACAGCTCTTGTTATGCATAAATAAATAAATATTTTAAAAAAGAAAGAAAGAAAATAGACATTAGACGAAGTAGGCAGATTGAGTGATCACTCTGTCATCTGTTTGGGTCCTGCCTCTGATTTCATTGCTAATTTCAAAATTAAAAAATGACCCATTACAAATCAGAAGTCACAGTAGATCTGGAATCACCAGCATGTTGCTGCAGCAAACAAGCATGGACACTGAGAGGTGGTGAGGGATTCTGCTCAGGAAGGAGGTGGGTCAGATCACTCCGGGGCCTGCATGCCCATGAGTCTATCACTTGGTTTTAATAGGGACATACTGGTGTTAAGGGTGGAGCAGAGGAATGTACCATGTGTGCTCAGAGCAGGTTCCCTGGAGCCAGAATAGAGGGCTGGGAAGGAAATGGCACTGAATCAACTTATCCACCTGCCTTCCCTTTTCCCCCTTTGTCTCTGGGTCTTTGACCAAGGTCCCTAATTCTCTGCCTCTCTCATGTAACTCTTTCCAGTCAGTCATTTCACATCATTGCTCTCTGACCCCTAATATCACATCCCCAAGGACGCCAGGACCACCTGTCCCCACCACCTACACATCACCCCATATTTGTTCTTCATAGAACTTCAGGCATTGATAGCTATTTAATGTGCCATCCCTCCTCTTAAAACATTTCCCTCCTTGGAACACTAAGGGATTGCTAAAAGGAAGACTGTAAGTGAATAAATGGGGGTTCCTAATTTTTTCCAAGATCCTAGTGCCACTGGAAAGTATCCCCATGGACCATCAACAGCTGGACTAAAATTCTGATATGATGCTCAAGGAGAACAATGTGGAATATTTGCTACAAATAATGTATTGTAGCTGTCAACCTGAAAATGTAGAATAAAATAGATCCCCAAAGTGCCATTCCCTTAACCAAAGATGAATTTATAACCTATAGCTTGCAGACATGAGTGGAGTCACGGATATACTTAGTTCTCATGGCCAATAACCATCATTCAATTGAGAACTGAGAATGTAAGCTTTTTAAATATCCCTCCCAATTTCTTAAGTGCCCAACTATTAAGGTAGTCATTATAAGTGACTGGCAAGGAAGTAGCAAAGCAACAGGGATGTAAAAAAGCACCACAGAGACATACACTGGCAAGGCCACCTACATTGCTAGTTAGACTTCCAGAGCACAGTCCTCTGTGACAGGGCATCAGTGCCACCTGGTGGCTACTGGCTTAATCCAGCAGCAACCATAAAAAATAAAATTGTGTCCAAACCCAAGAAGAATCAGAAGACTGAATTTGAAAGGAACCCCAGAAGTTAACTACTTGATCCTTCTCTTAAAATATTGTTAGTAAGCTTCCTAAATTAATTCAGCCACTGCTGCATTTCTACTCAGAATGCAGTCACTAAACATTTCACACTGAAGCTAATCACTGTTTACAGACAAGGACACACAGGAAGCACTCTCCTTCATCCCTGCAGTCCCATATACAAACTGCCTTTGACAGTTTTCCTGTGTGACTAACTATAAATAACTTGGCTACATTTTCATTTGACTTTTGGTCTCCTAGTTTCTATACATTTCCATTGTTTCAAAGGTTTAATTGTTGATGCATACAAGAACTAGGTTTCAGGCCAAAGGTGAGGAGTGAGATGTAGTAAAGATATATTTGCTACCTCTGTGTGTGGGTGTTTCTGGGGGGGTCTACCCAGAGACAGAGTGGGGAGCAGAACAGGCAGATCTACTGAAATACACTGTTTAGGGGAGCAGTGGACAGACTGGAAAGGTCTGTTGCACCATGTGGTAGCTCCCTGGTTGGGGATTGAACTCAGGTCATAATGGTGATAGTGCTGAGATTTAACTCTTAGGCAACTAGGGAAGCCCCCTATATTTCTTTCTTAATGCATATGAGCTCTTCATTATTGATCTACCTCTCAAAACTTGCATTTAGCCCATTAACCAGAATCAACATGAAATTAAATGTCTATTGAGTTCAATTGGCTGACAATAAAAGCACTCTCTTGGAGTCATCTAAACTGTCATACCTTCTGAAATTTCTCTACAAGAAAGTACAACTTCAACTGGAAGTGCTGAAAGGCTTTTTCAGAAAAGTATTACCTGCTCAGGTTCCAGGTGGTGCCTGCTTTGGTCAACAAGAAGAAATTCACTTGTACCATCCTTCACAGACAAACCATACTCCAATACTACTCAGCATGTGTTCTTATTAATATTCTGTTTTAGCTAATCGTGCTTCTCAGTCACCTTGACATGACACAGTCTGTCACCACACACTTTCGCAATAAGCAAAAATAGTATACCTTCCGTTTGCATAGTTATTCTTTATTCAAAAAATTTTAGCTGAAGTTTATGTTTTTCAGATGATTCTGTTTTGTATCCTTTTTTAGAATTTTATAAACCCTATCAAATCAAGCAGGCACCCCCTAAAGTGTCATGCATCAGTTTTGGGAATCACCAATTCCTGATATTTGTGAATAAATATCAACAATTTATTCTCCCTCACCCGGTAAAAACACTATTACAAAATTAAAGACCTTGAGGTTTTGGCATCAAACAACACCCTTGTTCTTTGCATGTTTTCTCACTTCCTTTCTGCCTCTAGTTGTGCCATCCACACAGTGGCCCACTTCCCCAGCCCCCAGAGGGGAGGGCAGAGAGACAAGGACACAGAAACAGCAGCTCGAAGTGGGCTGAGTCTCCTGCCATGAACAAAGCAGAGCTGGTGAGACAGTACCTTTGAATGGGAAATATTTGCTTCTAAAATACTATTGATAGTTTCATTTTAGGTGTGGATAGGAGACTGGAGCTCTTCAGTTAACTTGGTGATGTTCTTGATAAAATCTTTTACTTTTGCATCTGAAAAATAGTCAGAAAAGAGAAAGCATCATTCTAATAAAAGAGTCATTACTACCTGTGAAAACAAAATTTGATATAAAACCTGGCAAGGATTGTTTCCTTCACTTTGTACAACCCATAATAAACACTAAATAAAGCCTCTCTTTCTCCTCCTTTAGAAGGAATAGAAAGTTTCTCTACTAAAATTTAAAAAATAGGTTATGTGGTATTTTCTACTCACATGCTTACTTTCTCTAAGATATATTTTAAGATTTTCTCTAGAAAGAGATGTTTTTGACCACATGTCCAGGAAACACTTCTCTTCATACAGTTATGCATCTCATTGTTTTTAACAAGAGGGGGACTATTTATGGATTTACCAGAATTGTTCAGATTTGGAGTATTATTGCTATGAGAAGTTTTACAAATTTATAGATTAAACAAATAGGAAAACAGATGACTTTTCCAGTGAGCAGGGTCAAAGCAAAAGCCATACCACAGAAGTTTCTCTTCCTTCCTTCTCTTAGTTTTGGGACCCCAAGATTTTCAGGCTTCCCTTTCTAACCCTAATTAAGCTTTAATCATTTATCACATATAGCATAACCTTCCCTTTATATGTTTTATTTTGATAAGAGAAACAATCTATTTTTTAATCAAGCAACCTGGAGGAGCCGCCTATTTACCCTCAGTTACTGTGAAATTGCTCAGAAAAGTCACAATGGGATTCTCTGATAACAAAGTTTTCCCGAGGCTTTGAACCAACTTAAAATGACAGAAAATTAAGCTAAATTAAGCAAGATAAAATATCCAAAACAGTGTTGGAGTGAATGATACTGCTTCAGTTCCCAAGAGATGAGTTCAATAACAAGATCACATTTCCATAAAATCCCTCAGATAATTAGACACACAATGTCTCCTGACAGTGTCTGTATATGAAAATCTATTAATATCATGACTTCAATATTTTCTTTTCAGAGCCCTGCCAGGCTAGATGAGTCAGGGGAATAAGGATGCATAATAAATGATGTCTCATAAATGTGAAAAGAATGAATAGAATAGATCATGGAATGTATGAGAAATTAGTATATCAAGAAGTCAGATCAACATCATTCTTTCTGTAAGCAAGTCTTACAGAATATGAAATGCCTGGTTTTCCAGTGACTCACATTTCAAGAACACAACAAAAATTCATCCATAGTAGGAATTTTGAAAAATATTTATACCATTTACATAACATATTGGATATCATATTGTAATATCATATTTGGAAATTTTGATTTAATATCTTGATCACTAATAAAGCTATCCTTAGGCTAATTCTGCTTTTATACTTTATAATTTAAAATTTTAATGTAATGGAAATATTTGATGTTTAGACTATATCTAGGTTAATATGTATATTAATAGTATGTGGCACATAGTACTGCCTAAATTTCATTATGAACAAATTGGGTGACAGCTTCCTTACAGAGGAAAACACAGAGGCTTGACGGTTAAGATGGAATATACCTGTGTGTGAACTGCAGAGCTGTGTCCAGGGTGGGTTGGCATTCACATTCCTGGACCATGACATTTTCCAACTTTCCTATGAAGTTTTCTAAGGTGCTAGAAAGATTCCTGCTCAGACCTTCACAATTTACCTGATGGGATAAAAAAACATATATTTTCCAATTCCTAGAAAACAGAGCAAAGATATAATTAGAAACACATATGCTTTTTTTTTTTATGAGCTTGAATCTGGTTTCCAGACAAATGCACATTACAAGCATGTATTTTTTTTTTTATTACCTCAGCAAACAGAGCTTTGAAGTTTGGTAATGTACAATCTGATCATTCCTGTGCATTGCAGAGTAGCTTCCCTTATCTGGGAAACAGCAGAGTGGTAATTTACCCCTGGCTCTACCACTGACTGGCCAGGCATTATGACATGTTCTCCAAAGATGGTAGAGACCAACAGTACCTTGTTGGTGCCATGGCTATGGCCTCATAGATTTTACTCCTGGTTGGAAAACTAAGGCTTTTCAAAATTCCCGGACACAAAACAAATGTTGAAAAGAAATTATAAGAGGCTGCTCATATATAAAATGGATTACTGTGGGGTCAACCCTGACTTAAAGGTCTATCAAGTAACCTGGAAGTTTCCAGTCCTTCCATCTGCAGGTGGAGGGGCTCCCAGGACATTGAAGAGCATAACATGAGAAAAAAAGTCCTGGTTGAGGTCCTGACTATAAGATTCTATAGATGTCTTATAGCATCTTATATACACTAACAAGTTTTACAGAAGATCAATCATTTACAAAAATAAAATTAGAGTATTTAAACATTGAAAATAATGCACAACACATATCATATGTAAAATTAAGTGATTGATACAGGTAATCTAAAATTTAAATCAATCCAGGCAAGATGGGACCAGAGTGTACCTCCTCTGTGTTCCCTTGGCTCCAGTGGTGTAGAAAGAGGCTAGTGATGTTCCATAATAAGAAAGCACTACAGAGTGTTCTGGGGGCAGAATCCATAGGAGGGGAGCCCTAACTTGGCCATTAGCCACACTGAAGACCCAACTGCCAGCCAGCTGCACCTGGCAACCAACCCATAACCAGGAGAGGCTGGAAACCAGTCAACAGTGGCAAGAGTAAGTTCAGACTATGTTCAATATGGTCACCAACTGTAGGAACCAAGCCTCCAGTTGCCAACCAAGTGACCCTGATCCTCAGCCTCTAACTCCCACTGCTACCCACCAGCAGTTGAAGCAGATACACCCCCAGAGGTGATTATCACAGTTCAGAGAAACCAGCCACACCCTAGAGGTCAGAGCAGAAACACTCTTCCTTCAGAGGACATTACCAGCTCGTGGGGAACCCAACCCAGCTTCTGGCCATCAGAGTCACAATGCTTTGAACACAGGAGCTGTAGATTTCCTCCTCCAACAGCCATTGTGACATAAGAGCCCTGCATTCATCCTTAGCTACATGATCAAGACTTGAGAAATTCTTAGCTTCCAGCCACTGGTGGTGAAAGCTAATCCCCCTTCTAGCTTACTATTACCTAATACAGGAAGACAGCCACAAGCAACCAGCATGGTAAACTGGATCCCAGCTGATCCTTGCACCAGGTAGGGAAATCCCAAATACCAGATTCCAGCAGCTGGCAACCAATCTCTTGATTTAGATTTGGGATCCTCCCAACTTCCAGCTACTATCTATGGGAGACCAACTGCTGGCCAGAGAATCAAAGACAGGGGCTAGGATCTAATGATTGTGGGTCCTTAAGCAGTGAAACACAGGAATACATGTCTGAGAGACATGTTCTATATGTCCTATAGATAGCAACAGGATTAGTTATCTTTTGAACAGCAGAGACAAACACAGACTTCAACAGGTTGAACGCTGAAGTGTTTCACATAACATCAGAGGCTTTACAAGTCATCATCAACAGCTGTCAGAAATCAAATAATGGGGACAGGAAAAAGCACAGCAGCAACCTACAGCCTCAGTGAGATACTTCACCACACAGAGAGAAAAAATCTCCAGAATTCAACCACAAAAATGTGGAAGAGCTGTTTGGAAGATACAGAATTATCTGTATCAGATACAGAATTCAAAATTACATTAAAAAAAAAGAAATTCAAATAAATGGCAATTTAAAAAATGAATAACAGTTCTGAGAAATAAAATCAACAAACAGAAGATCCAAATTGAGGTTTTTAATAAGAAAACAGTAGAGGTGCAAGATATAAAAAGATTATTAGAGGAAATTTTAAATTCTGTAGAAAACTATAGAAGTAGAATCAGTGACTCAGAGATGTGAATGAACAAAGAATCTGAGCAGAAAAAGAAATAAAAAAACAAAGTAAAATAAAAAAATGAAGAAACACTGATTCTGTGAGGAAAGGCAATATAAGAATAGTGAGTATTCCAGAGGGATATGATAGAGAGAAAGGAACAGTTAATTTATTAAAAAGAAATAGTAAAGGTGAATTTCCTGAACCTGAAGAATGAAATAAATATGCAAAATCGAGGGTCTAAAAGAACACTGTTTTCACCTAATAAAACAAGATCAATGCCAAGATATATATTATCTTGAATTACTATGAAATACCAAGCACACAAGACAAAAGCATTTAATGTAATGAGTTGGAAGAAGCAATTAACATATAAAAGAACCCCAATCAGGCTAACATTTGACTTCTCTGAAGAAACATATAGGCAAGGAGAGAATGGAATAATGTGATCAAAATAATTAAAGATAAAATCTGTCAGCCACAAATACTCTATCCTTCAAGACTCTTCATATCTGAGGGAGAAATAAGACCTCCTTGGACAAACAGAAACTGAGGAATTGCAAACATTAGAGTCCCTTACCATGAAAAATTAAGTAGTCCTTGTATCTAAACCAAAGGGAGGGACATACACAAAGACCTGAACAAATAAATAGGGTCACAAAATTGATGACAAAAAGACAGCATTAGACTTCCCTAAATAATTGCTCCAAATGTAAATGCACTAAATTCACTAATTAAAAGGCTAAGCATATCTAATTGGATTAAGAAACAGAATCTAATTTTCTATTCTCTATAGGAAACACATCTGAGCTCCAAAGATAAACCTGGACACAAAGGTTTTGGGACACAAAGGAAGGCAGGAATAGTCATCCTTATATCAGACAAAACAAATTTCAAGTTAAAAAATAAACAAGACAGTGATTGACACTATATAATTATTAGGGGAATAGTACATCAGAAGACATAACACTCATCAATATTGTCATCAAATGAAGAAGCACTGAAATATATTAGGCAATTACTATGAACTCTGAAGGCAAACATAAAAAAAAAAAAACCACATTTGTGTCTGGGAACTTCAATATAATGCTTTTACTACTGTACATATCAATGACACATAAAATAAATAAGGATACAATAGCTTTAAACAAAAAAAAAAAAACTAGACCACATGGGTCTAATATGTAAAACATATATATGTATAACACATACACACACACAGAGCACAATACCACAAACCTAAAATATATTTGTTTCAAATGCACATGGAACAATCTCCATGTCTGCCCACTGGTCACAAGATAAGTATCAACAAATTCAAGAAGACTGAAATCATACCAAGCATCTTCTCTGACTATAAATGTATCAAACCAGAAATCAACCACAAAAAGAAAGAAGGGAAAATCTACTATGTGGATACTGAAACACACACTACTGAAAGACTACTGGATTACTGAGGAAATCACAGAAATCAAAAATGCCACAACACAAATAACAATGAGGGCACAACTTTCAAGAATATGTGGGACTTGTCAAGAACATCTAATAATAATAATACAGGGCCACATCAGACAATAAGAAAGAGCTCAGACAAAAAACATTCTCTCACCTTAAAAAAAAAAAACAAAAACTAGAAAGAGAAAAACAAAACCAAAGGCCAGTAGAAGAAAGGAAATGATAAATGCTTAAGCAGAACTTAAGGAAAAAAACATTTAAAAGACAATACAAATGATTAATGATACCAAAGATTGGTTCTTAAAAAAATACACAAAATAAATAAATATCTAGCTCAGCTAACTAGAAAATAAGGGAGAAAACTCAAACATATGATCAGAAATGAAGGAAATGTTACAATAGATAATACAGAAATCTAGAGGTTAATAAGAGATTACTATTGAACAGTTATATGTAAACAAGTTCAATAATCTAGATGGCATGGACAAATTTTTAGAATTATGCAATCATCTAACATTTATAGGAAACAAATAGAAAAATTGAATAGACCAATCACAGCAAAGACACTGAAAAGGTAATCAAAAGTCTGCCAAGAAACCAAAGTTCAGGAACAGATGGCTTCACAAGTGACTTCTACCAGTCCTTCAAAGATGAACTAACAACTATCCTGCTCAAACTCTTTCAAAAATATGAGAAAGAAGGAACACACTTTATGAGGCCCACATTATACTAATACCAAAACTAAACTGCAATAACACACACACACACACACACTCACACAACTACAGGCCAATCTCCTTAATGAACACAGATGCAAAAATCTTCATTAAAATATTAACAAAACAAATCTAACAATTTATTGACAGGAATTTGCATCATTATCAAGTGGGATTTATACCAGGGACACCAGGGTGGTTCAATATTCAAAAATCAATCAATGTAATTCAGCACATCAATAAAAAGAAAAATGAAAACCATACATAATTATATCAATAGATGTTGAGAAATCATTTGATAAGATACAATATCCATTTATGATGAAAACTCTGAAAAAAAACTGGGGATAAAAGGAACAGTGCTCAACAAAATAAAGGTCTTATATGACAATTCCACAGCTTATATCAGTTTCAATGGTGAGAAAGTGAAAACTTTTCCACTAAGATTTTGTACAAGACAAAGATGTCCATACTCACCACTACTATTCAAAATAGTACTGGCAGTCCTAGCTAGAACAATACAAAAATAGAAAAATATAAAATGATTCCCAACTGGAGAAGAAAAAGTAAGGCTATCATTACTTGCCAATGACATGATAATGTACATAGAGAACTCTATATAGATTCCACTGTAAATATAGCTGAAACTATAAATCAGTTCAGCAAAGAGGCAGGGTATAAAATCCATACAAAAATCAGCTGCCCTCCTATAAGTAAACTGTAAGAAAGAAGAAATTAAAAAAAAAAAATCTATTCACAATTACACCAAAAAAAAAAAAATACATGAGTATAACAAGCAAAGTAGTTGAAGGACCTATACAGAGAAAACTGTAAGATAGTATTAAAAGAAGACACAAAGAAATGGAAAGACATTCTCTACTCATGTATTAGAAGAATCAATGTTATCAAAATAACATCATCATGATTAAAAAGCAGAAAGAAAACAAAAAGAAAAAAAAATGAGTTGAGACAAATAATCACTGAATTGAAGAATGAAATTGAGACCTTAAGAAAGGAAAGAAAAGAAACACAGGAGATAAAAAGATTACTAGAAGAGATAAAGACCTCTGGGAAAAGTAATGAAAACAGGATTGGTGAAATGAAAGTATAGAAGATATAGAAATAAAAAGTGCCAAAAAAGAGAAAAGGAGAGAAAAGTGCAAATGAAACAGTATGAGGAGACTCTTAGACAATTATCAGACTCCATGAAGAGAGGAAATATAAGAGCAATAGGGCCATAGGCATTCCAGAAGGTGAGGAGAGAGACAAAGGAACAGAGAAATTATTCAAGGAGATAATTGAAGAAAACTTCCCAAGCATGATAGACATACAGGAAGGGAGAAGATCTCCCAATTACCATAATGAAAAGAAAACTACAGCAAGACACCTAATAGTAAAACTTGCAAGAGTCCAAGACAAGGAAAAATAATGAAACTGGCAAGGGGGAAGAAACAGAAAACTTTTAAGGAAGGTAAAACCAATCAGGTTAACTTCTGACTTGTCCAAAGAAATATCACGGGCAAGAAGAGAATGGAGTAACATATTCAGCAAACTTCAAGACAGCAAATGCCAACCAAGAATACTTTACCCTGCAAGCTCTCTTTCCTCTATGAAGAAAAAATATGGACCTTCTCCGACAAAAATAAACTCCAGAAATTCATTACAACTAAACCCCAATCCAAAAAATTCTACAAAAAGTCCTAAAGCAAAAACCAACAGAGGCATGAACAAGAACAGAATAAAGCAAGGAATAAAATCACAAAAAAGATGAACAAAATGGCAAACACAGATGCCAACATATCAATATTAACTCTAAAGGTGAATGGATTAAACTCATCAGTAAAAAGACACAGAGTAGCAGTCTGGATTACAGAACAAAATCCAACCTTCTGCTGTCTCCAGGAAACACATTTAACCA